CAACAAGGAACAACAAATACTTTCCTAACTTCAATATTTAATTTTGAAATATTTAATATTTTCCGATACAAACATTTCTAAACTATTTGCAACCACGAATAAGTATACAAGGTAAATTGTAGATTAAAACACATAGTAATTAAAAAAAAAAAAATCATATATATCTTAGTTTTGATTCAAGAATAAAGAACAACCAATATTTTGTAATATTTAATTTTTAAATATGTATTAGATATTTCCTCGTATAAAGTAACCAAACCTTTTATAAAGACGAATAAATATGCCAGAAAAATTATACATCAAAATACTTCCCACTATAAAAAAGAAATGATCATATGTACCTATTTTTGCCCCGAAAAAGGTGAACATGCCCTAAGGGCTATTATCCCCTGTTCGCCTCTAGGCCTTAGGCACGGTGTAACTGAATTTTCGGCCGAGAGAGCCTTCATCGACCAGCCGGTTCATAAACGGAAGAAAGTCCCAAGAGTATCGATATCGCGATATCCACTTTTCGAAACGACGATTCGCAGAAGTTCTTGCGGGATCGGTGGCTCAGCCTCGCATCGTTATCGCTTTAGCTAGGGACATCTAAATTCGCCCAAAGCCAGGAATGTCTCCGCGTTGCCCTTATTCGGTTAAGCTCGAACTGTCCTGCACTTAAGCTCGCATAATTTCCGTCCTAACTAGGGAGAAATTACGCCTCCGCTCTGTTTGCGCGAGGAAATTCGTGCGTTCACCGCCCGTATCGCCTGCCCTGTCTCCTCGCGGCCTTTTACACCGCCACATCTACAACCAGGGATTCCACGACCGTTCTAGAAATAACGTCGAGTGCAAACGTTCCACAGAGTACGAGGGTGCTCGAAACCCGAGCCTTTCTCACATTTTCTTCCCGGATTTCACTTTACTGAAGGAAAGAATGCCTTCAGCCGAGGAATGTCTGTTAGGCAAACTTTCCCCTTCTGAGAGGTGTGCATTACTACTAGCATTCGCCGACGAAAGATTCGCAACGCGCTATTTTTGCACCCGAAATCTATCAATTCTGCCCACTTGGGGAATCGTGATATACGGAATGAAACCTGGCCAAACTTTATTTAGAACGTAGATGAGGAGTAATTATTAATTTCCCGATTTATAGGGAAGTTATTGCATTTGCCCCTAAAATGAAAAATCGATTTTTTAGCAGATCTCCATGTTTCCAGGTCATTGGAGTAATTTTAGCCTATTTTTAACAAATTGTTTGCGCGCGCGCGCTCGCGTATGTATATACGTATGTAAACAAATTTCTCGTTAAAGTTTTCTAAAAAAACTAATAGCGAGATCGAAATGATCGATGATGCAATCGATGAGTAATTCGGGCCAGTAGTTTTTTAGTTTTTTTAAGAAAACTTAACTGAGTAACGCAATCTACATGGGAGAATATAAATTTATGAGTGAATAACTAAACGGAAATAAATAACATATATACATACACTCGTACAAAAAATGGGGAATACTTTATAAACCCTAAACATTAGGCTATATTTCAATATCTGTAAGTCGGTGAAAAATCATCGTAAAAATAAAATTAAAAAAGCGTTTTAAAGCTTGAAGTTTCACCTCTAATGTGCTATTATGCGATTTTTAAATTTCCATTTCTGTTTTGTTTTGTGTTTTAAAAAATAACACGTCATTTTGTTCCTTAAAACTACGTATTTTTAACAACTCAAAAGTCAATGAAAAAATTTTATTTCGAAAAGTTCAACTCAAGTTCTAGAAACTACAACATATTACCTACAAAATGCTTTTTTAAAAACCTTTCTACGATTTTTTTGACTGATTTGCACGATTTTGAATGTTAACCCTTTTATTCTCTAAAGGTGACGTTTATCGTATATTTTAAAATAGGCATTTATTGATCACTAATGCTTTAGCCCAAGATTATTTTAAAGTTATGGCATTTTATGATGTTGAACATTTCTTGACATTAGTTACTACGCCATAAAATAAAAAATGTATGGTATCATTGACAAACTAAATGAAAGTCGATGAATTAAATGTAAAGATAATATTAAATAAATCTGTTGGATATCACCATGAATGCCACGCTTCAACTGTAAGATTCCACTCATTATCAGTCTCATTTTCTCATGTGTTTAACTCTTACAGAGGTATTTAAATGTCCCGTTCCTCGTGAATCTCTCTATATGTAAAAAAAAAGAAAGAAAAAATATACATGTCAAATTGAGTAATTTCCTCCTTTTCGAAGTCAGTTAAAAAATATATATAAAATGTGAAATAAAACTTTTGATTATGAAACTTCATTTGCGAGGAAATCGATTTTGAAACTCCTTTTATGCATGCGAGATTGAATACAACTTGATTATCATACCCGATCAATGTTCACTAGTTTCACTTGCGTTGGTATTTGTACATATCGACTATAGAATGGTAATATCTATTTTTCATTGACCATAACTGTCTTCTGAACCAGTATTGATCAGACATGTCGACCAAGTCGTATTCAATTCCACATGTGTCCCGAATGTTTTTAAAATTGATTTTCTTTACTTTTAATATATTTTTAAATATAGAATCAGATGGTTACATCAACTCCACCGTGAAATATTCGGTATATGTCATGGAATATTCTACAGATTTGGAAATTATTTTAGTATAGTTGACAAGTAGAAACAGCCAACGTTGATCAGACATGCAAGTCGAGTTGTACATATATGCACACTGCCCGTCAATAAAAATGGGACACTATATTAAAACGTCATAACTCAGAGAGTTTTCGTGATCGTGGATAAATCATGATTTAAAAAATCCTATTTTTTGGGGATCTGTTAATAAAGCATTCGGGCATCCGAATCCACGAACGGCGTTGACGTGGGGTTACTCGTTCACCCCACAGACGGGTCTGAAGACGGGTCTCGGTTTTCCAAAAAAACGACATTTTCGTATTTTAATGCTATTCACGAGGGGAAAAGACATCAAAACTGTGTAACTCCAATGCCTTGGACCGTACCACATGTGTTCCATGCAACGAAACATCGTTCCAACCCTTACACTTGGGGTGAACCACCCCTAACTTTGGACCACCCCTGCTCAGCTCAGGGAGCAGTTTTCGAAACGGGATCTGTTGGGCTTTCATTCTTAACGTATCGGGAACAAACATGGTGACTTTCATCGCTGTTTGATGTCTAGAAGTCCTCCCTTACGAAGGGGGTTGAAAAGTCGCGAGCTGTTCCACCCCCTCAAGGGGTGGCTATGGGGTGCAGAGCATGAATGATGGCATTTCCTGGATCAGGAGAGCCCAGAGAATGCATCGAGTCCAAAATCGGGACTGTCGTCCAAACATTGTGGATATTAAGGGGGATGGGGTGTTGTGAGGGGTGGGTTCGTCCGAGAGCGATTTCAAGGGATGTATTTTGTAGGAGGCATCAAACAGAGTCGCCTCAAAGGTTTTTTTGATTTTTTCACCCCCTTCCGTCACCCTTGAACCCTTCTGAAGTGCCGTTTTTCTGCATTACCCCTTTAGGGGAGGGGGGGGGGGGGGTGAATTATCCCTTTCTCATCAACCCTCGTCAATGCAACTTTGCACACACCCAGAGGACACTTCAAAACTAAACCTCACGAAGTTTCCCGAAGATCGGTTGAAAACTCTCTGAGTTATGACGTTTTAATATAGTGTCCCATTTTTGTTGTCGGGCAGTGTATATCGCACACGTTCCCCACAAATTTTCAAAATTGATTTCCCAAAAAACGAGGCCTTGTACGAAAAATTATTATACCACACTTTTTACGTATTTTTATGCATAGAATCCGTCTCTGACCAGTTATATGATCTCCATCCTGATATATCCTGCATATATCGTGGAACATTGGACGGAGTATGGAGATTGATGTAGTACAGTTGAACTCCATATAGCAGACTATTACCGATGAAAATGTACTCCGTAATGATACGATCGCATAATATCCCCGCAGGTAGATAAAGGTATCAGTAACGAAGCCAGTTACCGAGTGGATCAATGTTGGATCTGATGGCTGGAACTGTGTCATTCCGAAGCTGTCTCCCCGTTCAATGTCGGTTCGGGAGCGGAATTTGCGTTGTGTATCGTGTCGCCTGATAAGTCGTCGTATTCTGATTGGCTTGTAGCAGTGATGCCACCCCCACCGCGACCACGTTTTCTATTATTTTTTATTTCTTCTCTGTTGCTGATTCTGAACTTTTGCAAATTGAATCGAGCTGTTTTCAAACGTTCCATGGATACAGTGTCAATAAAAGCGACTTCCTCGACCTTTGTTCGAAGCTTGGTAATTCTGTGCATTTTATCGGTATCGATTTTACATTTTGTGCATTCGTTGAGATGCTGCACAGTAAAATTTGAACTTGAACCACTCAGAGTACTTGACTACTGTCGTAAACCCGTGCAAGTGCCAGATCTCGGAAATACCGGGATTAGAGAATGGCGACATTAGTACGTGATATCTTCTCGAATGTTTTATTGCAAGCGGTTGGAATACGTATTTCTTGTAACCGCTGTTCGTATTTAATCTGTGTAAGTAATTATTGTTTAAATTTCCCTCTTCAGACTTTTAATATAAAATTCTAACGTTGACCACAACATATGTACAATTTCTTTATTATCTTACATTTTATGAACTTTATATGTATAAATGACCAAAACGACTACAATAAAATAGCCAATAGAATATTGCGTAAGAAATATTTTGTATTAATCATTCTAGAAGTAACTGACAACTCTTGATCACTGTTTCCAATCTCTTAAAATTCGTCAACAGAATATCAATTACGTTGAAAAAGAATACAAAATTCCACGGAAATGTGATACAAAAGCGTCACTCGTTAATTTCCTATTTAAAATTTATCGTTTTGAAATAATTCTCGGATTCCTATCCGTTTCCTTTTCGCATGTTCCTAAAAGGTAATAAATATAGGAAAAAGGTCGGAGACATATCACGGGCACTGCTGAATTAAATGTAACATGTCTTACCTGTGTTGTTCACTGGATACCCGCCTTTCACTGGCCAGCCAACGGACATGCTTGCTCTGGACGAGAAGCTAAAGTACGCCATGAACTGGGATCTCGTGGTGTTCTCGTTTATCCTGAAACAAGTACGGATGCGTGTGCTTAGTGACGTTCACGTACAAGGATTCCGAGTGTTTTACGCGTTAAAACAATAAAAGAAACCCGTGATAGATATCACGAATTACGTTATTGCGTGACCCACGCTGAGTCGCGACATATTTACGGTTGGTACTTGGCGCACAGACCAGACAATTTATGCATTCCTGGAAAATGATGCAGAACTGGTAGCCGGGAACGATACACGCAACGTTTTTCGCCACGTCGACTATTGAAATACACTCTCTAGGTGATGATGAAATTGTTACAGAGGCAAAGATATTTCTTTGGAAGCAAAAATAATCATAAACGATACAAAAATTGTTTTGAGAGCAGGAATTATAATAATCGGCACGGAGGTTGCGAAAATATGTTAATGTTGGAGAATGAAAAAAAAAAGTATATTACAGATATTACTGCGTTATAGCTAATCAGCATACGATCGTTTTAATAATTACAATTACATTACAAAATTACAAAACTTGTGAATTTTAATACTTAGTTCATGGACTGGTACATTTCATAGTATAAATGGGAGTTTTGTGTGAAGAATAAATACAATTTATTATGTGAAATATAAAAAAAATCTTCAATAAAAACATTATTCCATAGACTCTAAAATATTAGGTGTAGAAATTAATTTTGTACCTTTCTAAGGAAAACTTACCATTTAATTATAAAGAAGAACCATACAATTGTTAATGTTCATTCAGCTATATATTGCAAGAGAACACGTATAATTGTAAATACAAATGTCGAAATAATCTGTGTTTCGATGACAAAGAATTAATTTCTACATCTAATAATTACTAAATATATGTAAATGTATAATCGTAATAGAAATCAGTTTGAGAACATACTTAGAAAGTTGGTAATTCAACCAAACAAAATGACGAGTAAATATTATTACTTAAAGTATAGTTATAAACGATTGAATGGAAAATTAACTAAATTTCTTGATATTTGTTTACTGATGTCGTGGAGTGTGAATATTTATTATCCTTAGTAAAAAATATTCTCAAAGTCCACGTATAATCCTGCTTTACGGGGACACTGTTTAATCCTCCGTTGAAGAAGATTTGCTATACATATTAATGCTAGCTGAGATTGAATATTCTGCCACAAAATTTCTAAATCGATCCAATTTTTTTCCAATCGGCTTTTATACAGAAAAAAAAGGAAGAGGATTTCCAAGTTGGGAACAATATTTGCGTTTACACTTTTTTCCCTACAGGTCCGTCTGTCCCTGCGGTGTATAGAGGTTGGATTCGCCACTTTTAAAAATCAATCAACGCCGGACAACGCGCAAATACATTTGTTCCTCGATAGATAGTAAAGTTCGAAGGGGTGGAAAGATAATCGAACGAGGTGTGTGAGCCGCGCACGTTCTGGAAACGGAAACGTGCTCGGAAACTGATAGAGTGTATGGACGTGTTATTACGCGGAGGCAAGTCGTACAATGAAAAGAATCGAGGCAAAACTCAACGTTCCTCGAAACTTGCTCGCTTCGGAGAGTTTGTACGCGTGAAAAGTTCCAACAACTGACGATGACGAGGTAGGGGGATGGTCGAGCATGCACTTTCTCTGGCTCGAGAAATCGTAGCGTCAAAAAAGACGGTAAAAAAGTGTCGAGGTCGTGCAGAAGATGGTTCAACGGGATTGGCCGGACGTCCATCCGGGTTTGAGGCGATCGTTCGTCTGGGATACGCTGTTTAAAAAGCAAGCACGTTGAAGTCTTTCGTCGAATGGACGGGAATCGATATCTGAACTTCCCCCCTCTTGGGAAAACTTGGCCTTTCAAGAAGTATGTCCCCAATAAAAAAGCGAATAGTTTCGCGCTTCGGCGTTCTCGAGCTTTTTCTTTTAATTAAACCGAGATATCTCGATGAGAATTCTGGCGTTTTCGAATCATTTCGCGAGGCTTCGAACCGTTCTTGAATTTTATTCCCTACTGTTGAATGTAATAACAGTCGTGAAAGTTGAATGTGAAGAGAGAGATTAATATTATAAGGAGTTGTATTATCTACATATGTAGTTGCTTGAAATATTCATGCTGCTGGATTGAAACGGATCCAAACGTTTGAATCTCGCACGACTACATAGGTTGGCCATTGACAAACTTCTCAGACGGATACGTGTCTGAAGTAATTAACGACGCCAACCACGATGGGTCGTCGACGTCACACAAACAAAAGATGTCTACCATGAAATTTACAAAAAGAAACCAAGTCTCATTCGATTGTATGGAAAACATCATCCACAACGCATCGTCTTTATTGTATCTGCAATTTTGCTATATGAAAGGTACGTGATTAACACAAAATAATAACGCATAACATAAAACAATTAAAAGATTCACAAATTCATAACGGTGCCGCCAATCGGTCCAGCTGATGACAATTCCACGTCGTCATCCAAATTTATAGCGATCATACACGATCCGTAAAATGTTTACGCCATGCGTAATCATTTTGGCACACTTACACGAACACACAATTCACATACTCACTCACATGCACGCATGTATTGAACCGAAAAATAATGTCGTGTTTGCAATTTTAAATATTTGTTTATCGTTCATCAGCTCATTGATTTTTATCGATCTGACATTGGCAATTTGCACACTAGATGGCAAAAGGATATTGATAACGGGAGCGATTATACAATTAATAATTAAAATTAGAAATTTATAAAAAATTTGTTTGAATTTAATGTAAAAGAAACGACATTACTTTCCAGTCCACCTAATATTACTTTAATTTAAAATATATTTTTCACGAGGTTGTTGGCCGCAAGGTCTCTTTTCCTCGGGGCTTATCCCCAAATATCGTTGTTTTTATTTACTTACATATTTAGTTGCATTTTATTATCTGAATCGCGAGAGTCAAGAAATAATTTCAGTTCCAACGCTACACATGCTGTTGCATTTATCCGTCTTCTTCTTTAAAAGAATGAATTAAATTAAAGGCGAAGGCGAATTACTTTGCTAACTGTATGTTTTCGCGTGTACACTAATTTTGATTAACCTCTTGTTCTTCCTATTTATTTTGAGATTTCGGGTATCATAGTTGCTTGCGCACATTTATACGACATACCTAACACGTGCTATTAATGTTCAATCCGAATTGCATATCACGAGTTTCATACATCGTAGGCCATAAGCTTCCTATTTCAGTGGTCATATACATGCAGAGAGTAAAATGGAATTTGATATGTTCAAATACATTAATGAGAAGGGAATAATTAATTTTACCTAGTACTGGATATTTATTATTATAGGGGTTTCAATAAATTAGAATGCGAATGTGTGAATTACCGAACGAGTACTGTGAAGAAATAGGCGCAAAGAAAGGTGATTTTGATATTAAATCGAGGAATGTGTGTGTAAATGTACTTTAAAATTAATCAAAAGGATATTAAACATTCTACCTTCTATAATATTACATTTTTTAGAGACTCTCCTGTTTTTATATTATCGTCCTTGCTTCCACCGTTGTCTCAAATATTTATCATTTTTGCTGTATGTTTATAGGTCAATAATTATGTTGAATACGAAGATGACTCATAAATATAAAAGTAATTTATAAAATTTTCACAGTGACCAATGGTGATACATCTATTATTTAGAAAATTTAAAGAAGTTTCTTAAGGAGGAAAAATGCTTTAAATTTATTTATTCAACAATGGTTAATAGCTAATTAGCTGTGTTAAAACAAACATAATAACCCAATATTCAACATTTTTATTTAGGATAAACCAAACGAAACGTTAAAAGGCGAAGGCGATATTGGCGACAGTAAGTTTCCAAGAGCCAATATCGACGAGAACGAGACGCGAGACGCGAGACGCGATACTGGTGACTCCTGTGCTTTGAGACTTGACACCAACAACTCTGGGGATTTGGCACTCGAAAATGGTTATCCCGGAGCGTGAAACCTGATACCAACTATCCTCGGATCATAGGAAAGCGATTCTGATTGCTATCGTGACAATCACATTGCCTTGATTCATAGAACTCTGAATCAATAATTTCTGAATCATCATGATAATGACTTCTTTGCAGTGGAAATTATTGATAATGATTTTAGAAGTTTGTTAGCCGATTAAAAACGCACACATCGAATTATGGAAACACTATATACCGTCAAGAGAAAGAATGGTCAGTATCAGTTATTATACTTTTTAATATGAATTAATAGAGATGGATATACAGGGTGTCTACGTATAAGTTCGGACATACGTAAAATATCAATTCTACAACAAATTCCAAACAAAAAATTACTCTTAGACATTTACTTTGTGTCGCCTTATTCTCGAGTATTTTCACTTTTAATATTTTTTATGCGTTTGCAACTTAACACTTAACACTCTTTAAACGGTCATAACTCCACCAAATTACAGTGTAAACTTAAAACTAAGTACACCATTCAAAAGAGCGTTAAATTTCCCATCTCCACGATGACAAACCAAAATTTATTACGTAGATTTAACAAGTGAAAAATTCGGTCAAATTTTACATTGTGAAAATGAAAAAAAATTTGACTTTTTCTGTATTTGTTTTTCGGTTTCAAAGACACAGTTGTTTAGCGAGCTCTCCTCGGGAAAAATTTCCTGGAAGTCTCAGCTTTTGAATGGTATTGCCAAACAAAATTATACGGTGGTATTTTAGGGAAAAAATGACGTGTGAATGCAGAAATGCGTGGGTTTTTAGTTAAACATCGATATTTTTCAACAAAAATTGACTTGTAACTCTAAAATTAACTTGACATCGGGTTTGATGTATCTCAAAATCAACCTCGGTGTACCGGTAAATGATATGGAGATTGGAACACGATCGATTTCACAAATCAAAAGTTCGATGTTTTCGGCGCAGGAGAACCGATAAGTTTTGATTGAGGAGACGGGCATTTTGAACGCTTTTCTGTATTAAAACGTCATTTTCTCCCTAAAATACCACCGTACAATTCTTTTTGACAATACC